TCTCTGGGCTGGGGCTTCCCCCCGTGACACAAGGAGCCTGAGCCCGGGCCGTACTTCGGGACCCTGACCTGCTGGACTCGGCTGAACTCCAAGCTTCGGGCTCATACAGAGCTTGTGTTGTTGGGGCTGAGCTCAGAGGGACCCTGGAGACTCAGCAGAAGGCCGTGAGGGGACCACAGACCCTCCCCTGAGAGCAGCTCCTGGGTGGCCCTGGCCAGGCTAGTTAGCCTTGGAAAGCGCAGTTCCACATGTGCAACCTCTCTCTTCCAACAGCCCCCACCTCACTGCTAGGAGGGATAATCTATCACCGTAGGACCTCAGGACATCGCGGCGCGAATTCAAGACGACTGCAGTCCTGTGGTGGGTGGGCGACTCCTTCTGGGCAGCAACAGTGCAGCTGAGAAGGCAGAGAGGTCAAGGTGGGTCCGAGATAGGGAACGTGAGCCCCGCCTGGCCCTCTGACAGGCAGTGGCCACTCTCCTGGGCCCAGAACAAGTGGCAGGACTGATAAGGCCTGACTTAAGTGGCTTCCTAGCCCTGTGCACGGGGACCCGGGTGGGGCGGAAGGGTCGGGAATTTTGGTTTCCAAGAATCCAGTTACCTTAAAAAAAGTAGGTTACTAAACAGAGTATTTTAAATTAAAAATGAGGATGTAGAGGAGTGGGGTGTTAGCAGGGAAACTGAAGAGCGTGAGCAAAGGCCGGCCCTGGGCACATTGTTGCCCAGGAACCTGGGAGGGCTTTGAGCTAGTACCGTAGCTACAGGCCACCTGTGCCCAATCCTGGAATCCCAAAAGAGGGCCAGCCTACCCTCCGGTCCCTCCAGCTGCCGGCGCCAGACTGGACTGGCCAGGGAGTGACCATGAGCTCTGACTTCGGTAACAGCCCACTGATGTAGACCGATGGGGGCGGCGTGGGATTCAGACCACTGCTCTCTCCAGTCCAGCCCTGGAGAGCCCCGGCCCTAAGCCCCACTAAGGCAGCCTGGGAAGGGACGCATCCGGGATCTCTGTGGCCTGAGTCCTGGTGGTTTACCGGTCACGGATTCCAATGTCGTTACGGTGATAAGATACTAACCATATAGCCAGAAAAATAAACAACAGATGCTCTTGTGAAGGTTGCTAGCAGGAAGCGGGCCCCGAGGGGGTGATTGGAGAACGGTGGGTGCGGCTTCCTGATGGCCCACGGGAGAAGAACAAGGCACAAAGAGGTGCGCTGCAAGAGAGAGGGAGCCGGGGATGACAGGAGAAAAGACTGTCGCCCCGAACCACCCCTCAGTCCCGTAGTTATTAGACACGGACAGTAATCAGCAAAGGAGCTGAAGAAGGCTGCACAGTAATCATCCGCCTTGTAGAAAAACAAGAAGGAATAGGAGTGATACACTGATTATAAGTCTTACAGATAAGCAAGAAGAAAAGCAGGACATGTCTGGCCAAGCAGAATAAAGTTCATAGTTGAGCAGCGCATTGAAAGGGCTCATCTAATTAGCCACAGGTGCTCTCTGGGGAAGGCGAGATACCGGGAAAATGAAGCAGGCAGAGTCCCCCCTGAGCGGGCCGGGCATCCCCAGCTGCTAGGCTCCAAGGACGCATATCGTCCTCTCCCCTGGAGGCCTGTTGCTAGTACATGTCTTTCTTAACCCCATATAAACGTGCTTGACGGCTAATACAATTCCTTGTAGGTTATATTTTAAGTAATACACTGTTCCGAGGGTCAGTTACAGTGGGTTCCTCCAAGTCTGGGCCTTCTCCCAGCCCAGGGACAGCCCCTGGACATCAGACGTCCTCCCCAAGGTCTGGGGTCATGAGACTGCCCAGTGGGGTAGCAGCATGGTCGCGGAAATTGGAGGAAGGATACCTGTGCCAGGGTCCTGGGCCTCACATGTGGGTACACGCAGATTCGCAGTGCCCCTTAGACAGACCCCCAGGACCACAGCTGGCTGTTCCCCCAGACAGGTTTCCCCTTCCCCATTGTCCCAGCTCCCTCTGGCTCACCTCCTGCTGCTGTGCCCTTATTTCCTTCTAGGACACTCCTGGTAACTGTAGGAGAACTCAGAAACCTTTCGATTACACATAAAACCAAAACACAGGAGACCAGGAAAAAGGCTGTGGCATCTGTAATGGAGGGTGAGTATTCCTCCAAAAGAAGCATACACCCAGACGGCCAAAGAGGGACGAACAGCTCACAGGGAAAGCAAGAAGGCGCTTCTCAGACGCCGGGAAATAGTTGAGCGATGCCGTTCTCTACCGTGGTAATAATCAGAGACATGCAACATAAAATAAGACACGTTTTTCTTTTTGGAAATTTTGGAAAAAAGTAAAATCTGTGCTATGCACCCCACACTGGGCTATTTGTTTGTTGGCGATGTCCGAGACATTCCCAGTGTGTGCCCACACACAGGCCTGCTGGGCATCAGGTTTGGTGCAGCAGGTGAGCTACCAGGAAGTCAAGGGGTGAGGAACTTGAGAAAGATTTCACTACTGTCATTTCCTGGAGATGCCTGGAACGGGGTATATGGGTGCTTTCGTTGATTTCTTAGGGAGAGCTGTGATGAGGTGTAATGCACATCTCGTGCACCTCACTCGTTTGAAGGGTGCAGTTCAGGGGGTTTTGGTCCTTTCAGAGCATTGTGCAACTATCACCACGATCAATTTTGGAACGTTCTCATCACCCCAAGGGAAGCTCCGTACCCTAGCAGCCACACGCTGCAACCCCCAGGCCTGAACAGCCTCATCCCCGTCCTTCCTCCATCGATCACCCTGCTCTGGACGTTGCAGAGGAACGGAACCGCACAGCATGTGTGTCTCCAAGGTTCACTCACGCATCGAGGCTTCCCTCCTTTTCATGACTGAGTACTATTCCCTTGTACAGATGAGACCGTATTTTATTCCCCTGTCCACCAGTGGGGGGGGCAGTGGGGTTGTTTGCACTGTGTGGCTACTCTGAACCATGTTGCTGTGAACAGACGCGTTCTTGCGCAACCTCACGCTTTCCTTTCTCTTGGGTCGACACCTAGCAGTGGCGTGGTTGTCATATGGGAACAGCCCGTCCGGCCTTTCTCAGCAACTGCCCGTTTCCCACAGGGGCTGCACCACGTCCTGTTCTCACCAACAGGGTGTCCAGATTCCAGTTCCACATGCTTGCCAGCACTGCTTGTCTTTCTGACTGTAGCCGTCCCAGTGGGCGTGCAGTGGGGTCTGTTTTTGGTTCTGATGTGCATTTCCCTAATGAGGAATGATGTGGGGCATCTTTTCATGAGTTCAGGGGCCATTTGGCTAGATTCTCTGGAGAAATGTCCTTTCACATCTTTTGCCCACTTTTCTCTCTATACATGCACCCGGGAGCCTTCCACTGAGGTCATGGTCCCGGGGTCCTGGAATCAAGCCCCACATCAGGCTCCCTGCTCCTGGGGCTCCCACTCCCCCTGCTTGTGCTCCCTCTCTTGCTGTGTCTCTGTCAAATAAATAAATAAAATATTGAAAAAGAAAAAGTAAAGTGTATACACACACACACACACACGTGATCTCCATACTCGAGGTGCAGCTCAGACACGCACACGGGATTTCCACACTCGAGTGCGGCTTGGACACACACGGGATCTCCACACTCGAGGTGCGGCTCGGAATCATGACCCGACTGGGTGAGCCACGGCCCGTCACCCGTTGTCCTAGGGCTCGTGTCTGGGTTGAGCTCTAAGTTTGCTTGTTAGCACATGCTGGATACGGTGCCCTACATGGTCCGTGGGCGCATGCGCTCTCCGCCTTCCTGGGTGGTGCCCTCCAGCCCCAGGCTCTGATCTGGGGGGTCCCCTGATTTCCTTCTGATCTGAGAAACCCTCGCCTAGTCCAAGCACAGGAGGTTGTACACCCGTGTGTTCTTGTAGGAATTCTGTAGTGTTGGCCCTGACATTTAGGTCTATGCTCCACTTAAGAGTTTTTGTTTTAGCTTTTTTTAAAAGATTTTATTTATTTATTTGACAGAGATCACAAGTAGGCAGAGAGGCAGGCCGAGAGAGGGGAGGAAGCAGGCTCCCCGCTGAGCAGAGGGCCGGATGTGGGGTTCGATCCCAGGACCCTGAGATCATGACCTGAGCCGAAGGCAGAGGCTTCAACCCACGGAGCCACCCAGGCACCCCGTCTTTTACTTTCTTACTACGGTGAAGTCTGTGCTTTCTGCTCTATGCGAAGAGGACCGGCACAGCCTTGCAGGTGCGTGGGTCCCCCCAGCTTGCAGCCCCGCGCATGCCCCCCCGCCCCACGCTTGCAGCCCCGCGCATGCGCTCAGCTTTCCGGGAGCCCGCCCCTCTCCCCAGCGCGCGCACAGACCGCCTGCGCCTGCGCCTGCGCCAACGGCCCCTCCCGCGCGCAGGCGCGTTCTGCGCTGGTGCTTGGCCCTGCCGCGGACGTCCTGCGAAGTTGGCGGGACGCGGGTGGTGGATCGTGGGTTTGCAAGTTCCGGGGGTCGCGTCAGCCCGGCTCCTGGCGCCGCAGGGTTCTACGGCCTCGGGCGCGTCCTCGTCAGGCCCGTTCAGCCCCGCCCTGGGCGCGTCGTCCCCCGGGCCTCCCGCCCTCCGGCCCATCCTCCTCAGGTTGTGCCCCTGCCGGCCCGGGCGCGTCCTCCTCCCCCAGTCCCCCTCCCGGTCCCCAGCGTCCCCGCCTCCAGCGTCCGCCCCCCCCGTCTCCCCCCTGTCCCCCATCGTCCCCGTCCCCCCCCGTCCCCCAGCGCCCCGGTCCCCCACCGTCCCGTTCCGTCCCCCCCCCGTCACTGACCCTCCCCCACCCCGGTTCCCCGCCGTCCCGTCCCCTCACCGTCGCCCCCCCGTCCTCCACCGTCACTGTCCCTCCCCCCCATCCCCCGCCGCCCCCGCCCCGCCCCCAGCGCCCCCCAGGGTCCCC